AATTGGTGGCCTATTTGTGAATCCTATATCCTTATCCATAGTACCAGAATTTTTCTTCCCTAGATCTCACCCAGAAAATAACAGGCAGGGTGCCTGCTCTGATGCCAATTGAAATTCTAGGTACCCAATAGTGGATGTTATCACGAATGTTATGACATCCACTGTAAAGCAGACTACTAAACTTAATATCAAACTGTAAGTGAAAACTGTAAATAACACAAGTAATTGTTCACCCAGTTCAGTGCAAACCACACTTATATCTGGGGGCTACCAAGCCAGGGAGGAAATTCACTATTAGTAGAATTAATTCAGAGTCAAACAACCAGTTTGCACTCTTCACTTAAGACCTACCCAATGACACTTCAGCCTAACACTAGACCAGAGTTACCAACTCACTCCCCCTCAATCATAACAGTGATATAAACCAATTTAAGATTACACAAGAGAAATTGAAGACACACTTCAAACACACCTTGATCTTGCTTCACAGCTTTGATCAAGTGACACACCACTCTTGCTTAAAAGTTTAGAGTGAAACATTGAACAAACAGTTCACACACATTAAACCAAAGCAATCATGCAACAAACAATTGCTTGGCATACAAGTATCCTAAGATACAACACACACGTGAAGAACAACTGATACAATCAGACTTCTTCACTCACAAACTACACACCTTAATCTCTGCCTGATTAGGATTGATCTTCTATTATTTATAGCAGCAGATTGTCTTTGGGCCTTCGTGCACAAGTTAGGTTTACCCAAGTAAACCCTCTCTTCATAAAGCTGCGCACATCCAATTGGGTCAGGGGCATTCCAAGTTATCCTCAGCAATGCCTGATATGTCGCCTAAGATAACTAGGCTTCCTAAAATGCTTCCTGAAGTATAGCCTGAGCTAATAATAGAAAATCTAAAACTTCGCGCCCTGATGTCATACGCTTGATGTCATAACATCCAACATGACATCCATCGTACTTGCTCTTAGATATTCAAACTTTAACCTGTAGAACTGTCCTTATGTATGTCCTAACATCAGTCATGACATTCATACCTACAACAGTGTTTTGCCACAAAATGCAGTCAATCAAAACATCTACAATTTCAAGCATAATTCACGATCATCAATGATCCACACGAGCCATCCGCTCACCGTAATCCTCTCGGGAATTACCATCATCATACCAGATCGTCCACACTAGATGGTCCTGACCCATACATATCAATCACACCCCTAAGGGAAAAAAATGTAATTTTCCACATTCTCTCTAATTAAATTTATTACTAATCTTTTTTAGGTTCATTTTATTCATATTAATCCTACCGATTAAACGGAATTGCGTTCCAAGCAAAATCTAGACATAAATCACAAAAATGGGAAAAAGTCATCCTAGGCCTGCCCATACGCGTATTGTCATGTCTGTTACGTGTAATGCCTTGCTGTCAGGCCCACCATACGCGTATTGCCTTACCTGTTACACGTATTGCCCAACTGTCAGGGCCACCATATGTGTATTGCCCTACCTGTTACGCGTATTGCCCAGTCTATTACGCGTATTGCCCAGTCCCATACGCGTATCACCAGAACTGCTGCCAAAAACTCAGATTTCATCTCTTTCACGAATCCTCACTCAATACTCTTCATTTTACCACTCAACTCAACCTAGAGTTCAGTTTTTTGTTAATCGTTTCTCTCTACCTCCACTATACTTCATCTATCCATTATTCTCCTAAGATTTTTATCATGTAAGGTTCAATTTCGTTAACCCTCAAACCCTTATTTTCCAGATCTGTTACCTATTAGAATTTTATCTCAGCATCAATGAATTTTCACACGATTTTCATATCAATCCCAGATTCATATACACAAACATCACATAATAATCATTCAAAAATAACAGTAATTTTAGGGAATTCATCATGTTACGAATTTCAGATCAAGAAAACCAAAACAGACATAAATCCTATGAGAGAAAGGACCTCTCACTACCGTCTCATGTTAATTCACCCATATTGAAATCCATTCTCCCCCCTTACCTTGGATTTGAGCTCTTTCTTGGCAACAATGGAGAAAATTGGTTCTTTTTCCCCTAGCTCTCCTTTCTCTGTCTCTTCCTCTTTCACGAATGTTAACTGTTTAATCCCACTAATACTCTCTAAACCCTCTTAATCAAATTTTTAATTCATTTAATTTTATTACTAATAATAATAATAATAATAATAATAATAATAATAATAACCATAATCCTATTATTATTATTATTATTATTATTATTATTATTATTATTATTAATTGAAATAATAATATTAATAATCATAATGTTCCTAATCTTGTTATTAAATTATCCCTTGTTCTAGGTCCACATTACCCCAACTAAGGTCAGCTCTCCCTCTCGCTCCTGACCTCATACCCTTAATTAAGGACATCACAACCAATACACGCACAACAAAGTATAAAATGACTAAATAATTTAAATGGGGTGTTACAAGAACCCATAACCCATCATTTTGTTTTATCAGAAGTCAAAATCCACCATTTTGCTATGCGAGAATTTGTAACTTGCCAGATGTCACCTTTTGTTTTGTGAGAACCCATAATCTATAATTTTATTACGTGAGAATTTGTCACCCACCTCTTGTTCTTTGAGAATCCAAAATCCATCATTTTATTCCGTGAGAAGTCAGAACCCATCATTTTGCTACATGAGAATTTGTAAGCCACCTTTTGTTCTGTGAGAGTCCATAATCTATCATTTTGTTACGTGAGAATCCGTAACCTACATCTTATTCTGTGAGAATCCAGAACCCGTCATTTTGTTTTATGAGAAGCCAAAATCTATTATTTTGCTACGTGAGAATCCGTGAGCCACCTTTTATTCTGTGAGAATCCAGAACCCATCATTTTTTTACGTGAGAATTCGTAACCCATCCTTTTGTTCTATGAGAATCTTGAACCTATCATTTTGTTACATGAGAATCCGTGACCTACCTCTTGTTCTGTGAGAATCCAGAATCCATCTTTTCGTTCATTGAGGAGAGGAGTAGGAGTGGAGATGGGGGCCATAGAGAGATGAACGAAGGAGGATTGCCAGCCAGAGAGAGACAGAAATAGACAGGAGGAGCCAGAGCGGAGTGGGGAGTTGAACAATTAGGGCAGGGGGAAGCTTTCACGTTCATGTGGTTATGACACAAGCAAGCAAGAAAGAAGATGAATTGGCTGCAGCTAGCTGAACGTGAAAAAGAAAAACAGAGGGAAAAAAAGGTTTTAACGTTTTAAAAACGAGGGCGAAATAGTAATCTGGCTGAAAAAGTAAAAAAAAAAACAAAATCGGGTAATCCATTCCGTCCAGGGAGCGCAACGCTACCCGCAAACCGCTTTCTCGCAGGAATCAACTGCTATCGTAGACTACGATTCACTCCAAACTCTGCGCACAGATAAGGGTCGCACTGGTCAGACCGCCCGAAATCGCGCCTGAAGCGACCGCTATTGATAACTCTTCTTATAATTAACAAAACAAAATTACATTTAAAAATGAATTAGTTAAAGAACTTTAAAAAAATTCTATAAATTTGTTATGATAACCTTACGCTTAGCTGATTGTAATTACTTTAGTTGAATCTAAACCGAAACCTATTATAGATCAAAACCACTTTTATGACTAAACTTTACACCCATATTTAAAACCATATTTATGTTAAAATGTTTTAAACCGATCCATTTAAATGGATTTGGATTATATGATTTTTAGAACAAGTTGTAAAGTGGATATCCAAAAGCATGTTATTGCCAAAAATATAAATTTCATATTAAACCTAGTAGATTGAACAGAAAAGAAAAGAAAGGGATAAAGAAGGGAAATTTCATATTGAATCAGTTTGCCTCTGTACTTTTCCTCTCTTTCTCGTTCGATTCCATTCGAAGGGCAAGGCATCGCCGCCGCCACCTGTGCAACCTCCCACGCCGCTGTCTTCGTCTTCTCTGGTACTATTCTTCTTCGTCTTCTCTGGTACTATTCTTCTTCGTCCTCTATTTCTTTTCTTTTCTTCTTCTTCCCGAATTCTTCCTCTATTCTTCTATAGTACAAATAACCAGACAAAATGTTGTTACAGTGTAAGTAACCCGACATTTGGTTGAGTGTAAATAACCGACAAAATGTTGTTTCAACCTTGTACATGTTTATACTCACACTTCACCACAGTACAAATTAGCAACAAATTGCAGATGTTTGGTCTGATGGAGTCTCTTTTTGTATGATGTTAGTTAGTGGATTTCCTTTAAAGACTTGGATTTGAGAAACTTTACAAAAACTATTGCTGCAAGTGATATCTGCAAAACCATTGAATTCCAAACCCCAATGAAATCTAGATACTTTAGAACAACCATTAAGCCTTATTCACTATTTGATTCCTGATTTTTGAACATTTAACCTTTTCTGCCTTTGATTATTTAACACTGAACCGTTTGTCTCACTGCTGCTGCAGTGGCTGATTTTTCTATACACTGTCTGACGACTGAGGTGGTGCAAACGATGCTAGAATATTAAATCTCTAATTGTAAGGGTACTTTTATTTTTTTGATAAATTTAGCTAAATGCAATTTCACAGTTTCCCATTGTGGCAATGATTGTTATGTTGAAGTTTCATAGTGATCTTGGTCATCGAATTCTCAATTTCCCAAACTGTCCAACCAGGGAAATGTCAGCTACATGAAAAATCAATCATGTATGATGACTTTTAGCCCTCTATTTAATTACAGTATTATGATTGGGTTTTTTTTAGCTTTTCAATGGAACTCCTTTGCGGGCTGGAACTTAAGAGACTGAGATATTTTCAACATACAATCTGAAACATTAGAGTGGTTTTGTTGTTATTGTTGGCATGTCACTGACTGATAAATAAGTCTACCATTAATGATTCGTTTAGTATTTTCATCACTTCCCCCCTATCTTTTTTGCAAATAATTTTCATTTGGCATAAATCTGCAGAGTTACAAGCTTATGAATGGCGTGGCTGGAGCTTGGAAAGGTTAGTTTACTTCGATAATAAGCACATCTCCCCTCCATTATAAATTGTGTCAGATACGACAATTATCCAGATTGCAGATGGTTTTACCTTTCCTGTAATAATTAGTGTCATATAGCTCATTATGTTTCTGATGATGTCCTTTTCATTACCTAAATGCAGAGAATATATATGAATTTTACCAGAGCTTTGGCTACAACGTCATGTAAGCATGTGCGAGGGTCAAGTTTTACATCTATATTTGCTGAACAATCTGTTTATGCTTCAGCAAGATGCATTCCTGGTACTTGACATCATTTATGCTTATAATATTTCATTTCATTCACATGTATATTATTGTATACTTATACTTTTACATACTTTAAATAACCTGATGCAGATTTCATCAATCGCTCTTTTCCTGGTGCGGCTGGTTTTTATATTGGGAGTAAAGAAAGTGGAACACGGTAAGATAGTACCCAAATTTCAAGCTTTAAAATGAGCCATTGATAACTTTACTGTTTAGGTTGTTTAAGGATGATAGCATCATTTGGCCTATGCGTGGTGAATAGGGCTAGGAGTGAGTTTACTTTTAAAGATATGCATAAGATTGGAGGGATGAGGGCATTTTGAAGAAGCTCTTATTTATGTACTGCTCATTGACTAGATAGGTTGCACTACTTTGATGATAATAGTCCTGATTGGAAAATTGGGCTGAGTTTAGTTACATGCCAATAATACTTATATAAACAGTTCTGAAATTTTCAAGCATCTTTTGGCTGTAGATGAAAAATCCAACACTAAATTGCGTGACTGCACATTGAAAATAGGTAGAGGTAATTATTTTTGTTTACTTTCGTAGGTGCTTCCATGCTAGCTCACAAGTCTGGGCAAGAAGTGACGCGGCATATGGATTGAAGACCCCAAAGAAGGAGAAGTATGTGAGAAAAGACAGTAGAAATCAGCCTCCTGTTGAAGCTCCCTATGTCCCTCGTAATGTCACATCAGCCAAATCTAATCCTGATAAAACAATAGAAATATTTGAAGGCATGACCCTTGTTGAATTGGCAAAGCGTTCTGGAAAATCAGTATCTTCTTTGCAAGATATTCTCACAAATGTTGGTGAAAAGATTGAATCAGAGTTTGACCCTCTCACTATGGATGTTGCTGAGCTTGCTGCAATGGTATATCCTTCTTAGTCACAGATGATGTTAAATCATTGAATATAGGGAACCATCTTTTGATTCCAATACTTGTTTGTCAGTCTTTTCCCATTTGCAAGTGATAACATGTTAGAAAAAATATATATTTTGATCATATTTTACATATTCTTCTTTACTTGGAGCCATATAGAATTCAATGTTAATAGTAATTTTATTTATTTGTTTTGTTTGGGATAAAAAGTTAGCCGACCCCATTTGGTGGGATAAGGCTTGATTGTTGTTGTTGTTGTTGTTTGTGATAAAGTCTGCAAGCAACGGTTTGATGGAAATCAATGGAGTTTGAGATATACTTTTCCTGAAACTATTAATAGTTGGTATTGGGAAATTTTGCGCATCTGCCCATCTGTTGAAATGGACAATTTACATTATAAAATAAAGGGAAGATAAGTAATGGGTAAGACTAGGCCTAAAGTATTGGTAGGTAGGTTTGGGTGAATATTTTAGTTTCAAACCATCATTGAAGCATAATTATTCTTGGGTATTCTTACAACTTTCTTTGTTTGCCTTAATTCTGGAACATTGACTCAAAAGCATCTCTACCACCCTCTAACCCTCCCTCTTTTTTATTTTCTAAATTTCCTACATGATGATATTTTAGGTTTCTGCATGTCAATATTTTTTTTGTCACTTAATTTGTTCATTGCTGTTGTAGGAGGTTGGCGTCAATGTTAAGAGGTTACATTCAACCGAAGGTGCAGAACTTTTACCACGTCCTGCAGTTGTAACAGTGATGGGTCATGTTGATCACGGCAAAACTTCCCTTCTCGATGCCTTACGTCTAACATCAGTGGCAGCCAAGGAGGCTGGTGGCATTACTCAGCATCTAGGTGCCTTTGTGGTGGGCATGTCATCAGGAGCATCAATCACATTTCTTGACACTCCCGGTCATGCTGCATTTAGTGCAATGCGTGCACGAGGTGCAGCAGTCACAGATATAGTAGTGCTAGTTGTTGCTGCAGATGATGGTGTAATGCCCCAAACACTTGAAGCCGTGTCCCATGCAAAATTAGCTAATGTACCTATTGTAGTTGCAATCAATAAATGTGATAAACCAGGTGCAAATCCTGAAAAAGTAAAATTACAGCTTGCTTCTGAGGGCTTGCTGCTGGAGGAGATGGGTGGGGATATTCAGGTTGTTGAAGTTTCAGCGGTTCAAAAGACTGGACTAGATAACTTAGAGGTAGCTTTACTCCTACAGGCTGATATGATGGACCTTAAAGCACGATTTGATGGGCCTGCTCAAGCATATGTTGTTGAAGCAAGACTTGACAAAGGACGGGGTCCATTGGTGACTACTATAGTGAAGGCCGGGACTCTAGTTTGTGGACAGCATGTGGTTATAGGCTCACAGTGGGGAAAAATTAGGGCTATTAAAGATACAGCAGGAAGGTTAACTCAACGAGCAACTCCTGCAATGCCTGTTGAAATTGAAGGGCTCCGAGGGCTGCCAATGGCTGGTGATGATGTCATTGTTGTTCATTCTGAGGAGCGAGCTAGAATGCTCAGTTCTGGTAGGAAAAGGAAATCTGAAGAGGACAGGCTTAGGGGCAAGATGGTGCAGAATGTGCCAACTACTTCAGATGATTCTGAGGAGGGGGTTCCAATCAGGGTTGAAATGCCAGTAATTGTAAAAGCAGATGTTCAGGGAACTGTTCAAGCCGTTACAGATGCATTGACAACTTTAAATAGTCCCCAGGTATGTGATGATTATTATTATAACATGGTATACTTTTATTTTTGCATTATCGCCCACATATGGTATACTATTTGTTTGCTATGCAATAACCATCCTGTAATTTCTTTGTTAGGTTTCTGTGAATATTGTTCATGTTGGCGTGGGGCCTATTTCTCAATCTGATGTGGACCTAGCACAGGCTTGTGGCGCATGCATAGTTGGATTCAATGTCAAGAGTCCACCTATTTCTCTTAGCCAGGCAGCAACTCGTGCGAGTATCAAGGTATTTTCAAGCTTTTCCCCAAATTCAACTATGAGTAATCACTACTTTACTATCTAAAATTATAAGATGTCGACGTAGTCTCTGAAATTAATGAAATTTCAAAATGATCCCTTAGTTTGAAAATTTTCAATCACATTAATTCCTGCCAGACAGTTGTAGCGATTAAATTTACCAGTCTAAAAAGACTAATGATTTAAGTTTTTCAAGGGCTATTTTGGATTAATAATTTAAGTGACTCAGTCGACCTCATAGAATTTCAAAGACTAAATTGGTGATTTACTCATTTAACTATAAAGTGATTGAAATTTGATATCTGTTTGGTATGGTTGTAGGTGATTCTGCACCGTGTAATTTACCACTTATTGGAAGATATAGCCAATTTAATAATTGAGAAGGCCCCGGGTACTTCGGAGACTCAGGTAGCTGGGCAAGCAGAAGTTCTGAATATCTTTGAAGTGAAAGGGAGCAAATCTAAGGGACCTGATGTGAAAATAGCTGGTTGTAAGGTTGTCGATGGTTTTGTGAACAGGTCAGCAACCATGAGGCTTCTAAGAAGCGGTGAAGTGGTGTTTGAAGGACTTTGTTCATCTCTTAAGAGAGAGAAGCAGGATGTGGATTCTGTGAAGAAAGGAACTGAGTGTGGACTAGTAATCAGTAACTGTTCCGATTTTCAGATTGGTGATGTTGTCCAGTGCTTAGAACAAGTAGTAAGGAAGCCCAAGTTTGTTAAATCAGAGAGTGGCGCTGTTCGAATAGAGTGCTGATGAAGTCTATACTTCTTTCAGCAGACATTTTTGTGGTAAAATTATACATGAGAAGATGCTAAAATAACTAACAAATAGAGATGGATTGTTACTTTGATATAGTATTAAATTAAAATTTTGAAGCATAAGTTAAATTTGAATAGCTTTGTATACTAGATTTTTTGATATGCGCATTGCATGTGTATTATGAATAATATGTTGAACCACTGCTATGGAAAAATTGTGGTAATTTGTTAACTTTAACAATTGTAAGAACAATAACCTCTCACGATCTCAGCTTTCAAATATGTTTCCCGCTCGAATGTTTTCCTTCTTTGCGTTGACTTCTTTGTCCATCAGTCGACCATGTCGACGAAACTGCCTGAGTCGATCTAACAACCCTCTTCTGTTGGCGTCAGCTTACCTCATTTTCTTCGCCATCTTTTCCAGCTTGTCGACCTATAAGCCAGTCTTTGTGTCTCCTCTCTTTAGTCGAAACTTCCAGCCAACAATGTCCAAAAATGTCAAGTGGGAAATCGAATATATCACCACCTTGCATGATCATCTCTCCCACACTCCATACCACCTCCATAACCAAAACCCTTAAAATAATTTCATTATCAATCAACATTATTGTTTTGAATTGGGCCGACGCTTGGCCCATAATCGAGTAGGTCCAAACCCCACTAGGTTGGAAGGCCCAATAAGATCTCATCGTCGGGCAGAACATCTTTTCTCGTCGAGCACGAACCAATGACAGTCGAGCAGGATCCTCATAACTGTCCAACTCGCCCTTCTTCTGCCCCACGGTCGGGCAGAACCCATCCAGCTCGGGAAGCTCCTCGGACCTCCCCAACGTTCTCAACATGTCCCCTACGCGGAGACACGTCATCAGGTAACTATCTGTGTCCTGATTATTCGGTCCTCCTCCTCCCGAATAGCACGAAACAGTTACACTAAGACGAAGACGACGTGCTGGTCTTCATGACACCACGCCAGCCCTAACAGTTACCAGCATTGGGCCTGGCAGCACAGCCCAACACATAGTAACTGTTGGCCCTGCGCTGGGGGATCATTATAAATACCCTCTTCCACTAGAGGATCAGGTAATCTAACTCTTATTCCTTTCTCTATGTACTTGTTATCACTCTGCTCGTCCCTTACTTTGGCATCAAAGTGTGTTTCAAGTACACCCCCCCTGTCCGTCAAGTCAACAGTTCGACAGCTCAAATGCGTAGCCGGCCAACGATCTCTCTGATCAGGTACGATCAGTGGCACCGTTCGTGGGAATCTAAAGCTTGCCCGTTCCTCCGAGCAGAAAAACCAAAGCTTCCAACTTTAATTTCCGAGATCATGACTAGCCCACGCCCCGACGATGCTGTCCACAATTCCGCCTTTTCCCCAATCACCAACGGAGATGACCAGGCTAGGCCCTCCCACGCCCGTGAGGGTGACGTGAGGGACGGTCGGAATGCCTCCCCTTCGTCCGAGGACGCGGCACATCACGTCGCACCTCGAGCAATGAGCCCGACTATTTTCCAGCCCGTTCCTACGCCCGCTAGAGCGGACCCAACGATGACTGCCCTCTTCGCAGCCATCAACCAAACCAATTTGATGTTGTTCCAGCAGAACGAGCGCATCGGCATGCTGGAACAAAACACCTCGTCTCACTCTCCCCTGCGGAGAAATCAACGCGAAGACTCCCGGATCCCCTCTCCCCGTCAACGGGGGCACCGACCACAACTGGAGAGGCCCTAACTGGTGGCCTCCAAGAAGCGCGTTCGATCACCTCCCTGGAAGGAGGGGCGTTTCCCAGTCCAAAGAGCCAATAGACCGAAAGCACCGGGCAAGAGGTCGAGGGGACGTAATTAAGCCCCTCACGCTCCCCAGCCCGCAGTGACGAGGACGATTACAGGACCCCCTTTCCGAGAGATCATGGCAACCCCCATCCCCCACGAGATGGAGAAGCCACCCGTACTCTCCACGTACGACGGTACCTCGGACACGGACGACCACCTGGAAGATATTGAGGTCATGCTCGACTACCGGAACGTCCGAGAAGCCATTAAGTGCAGGCTCTTCCTGACGGCGTTAAGGAAGGGAGCCATGGCTTGGTACAAAATCCTGGAGCCTGAGTCCATCACGTCGTGGAGGGTCCTGAAGGATCTCTTCTCACAACATTTCACGGCGTCCCAACGCCATCTGAAGACGGAGGCCGCCCTAGGCATGATCATCCAAGCCCTGGACGAGCCTCTCAAGAACTACATCGAGAGATTCACGAGGGAGGCAGCCCAGGTAACGACTTCAGACGACATGAAGCATTACCTCATGGAGCAGGGCCTATGCCGCGACTCCAAATTCTACGAGGCCGTGGCAATCCACCGACCAACCACCCTGTGAGGCTTCCTCGAGAAAGCCCGCCACTACATCCAGTACGAGGAGACCGAGACTACTAATTCTGCCCGAGACTCCCGTTACCGCAAAACCCCCCGCGGGTCCCGAGAAAAGGGAGCTCTGGCCCCTCGGCGAGGGGGAGAGCTACGACGAGACGATCGTCCCCAAGAGCCCTGAGAGCAGAAGGGCCCCGCATGCCGCTTCATCAAATACACAGCCCTAGTCGCTTCCCGCGAGCGCATACTGGTTGAGCGCACCAACTCGGAATTCGTCCGGAGAGGTGTCCGTTTTCCCAAACTGGCACCCCCTAAGGCCAACGTGGACAAGTCCAAATACTGCCACTTCCACGCGGCCACAGGCACGTCACCGAGGATTGCATCCACCTGAAGGATGCAATCGAAATACTCATCAAGGATGGGCACTTGAAGAGATACACCAGGGGAGGAGACGCCCATCGACAAGAGGCCCACGAAGCCAAAAGGGTCGAGGATATCCATCCTCCCTCCAACGAATCTGGGCTGCATGTGGCCCTCAGCATCAGTCGTCCTGAAGACTGGTTCTCTTTGAGAGAACATAGTCTCCCTACCGGACACTCGCTTCCCGAAGAGCCAATACGCCCCATCAGTCCGTGGGATACTTCCCCACCGCGATAGTCATCTCAGGCGGGGCCCTGAACAAGCTCTCCATTGGGTCCTTGAAGAGGAAGTTTGACGAGCTGATGAGCAACAACTCCGGAAAAATGAGCATGCTCGACAAATTCCACGGTCGGTCTAACCCGATCACATACTACCTTGAAGAGCTGCCTGGAGGAGCCCCCAACTCCGCCACTCCCCTGCTGATTCGGGCACAAATGGCAAATTTCGACATCCACCGCATCCTGGTCGACGAATGTAGTTCGGTGGATATCATGTATACCCACCTATTCTCGACACTACAGCTCGACGAGACCAACCTGACCCCCTATGTCGGCTCCGACCTCCAGGGGTTCAACGGGACGACGACGAAACCCTAGGGATACGTGGAGCTCAAGGTCACTTTCGGGGCACATGAAACGGCCAGGGAAATCAACGTCTGCTTTCTAGTCGTCGAGTGCCCATCTGTGTACAACTACATCTTAGGCAAGACGACGCTGGCAGAGCTTACTGCGGTGCCATCGACAATCCACTTAAAGATGAAGTATTACACCAGCCTGGGAGCCGTCGTCACCCTCATCGGAGATATAAAGGTAGCCCAGAGATGTTTCGAGGCAGCAATGAAGGGCCTCAGCACGATCGGCCCCTCTACTAAAGCGACCAAGCCTTCCCCCGTCTAGGAGAGCAGACCGAAGGACCATGTCGATGCCGTAGACCTCGACTGCCGCTTCCTCGGCGAACGTGACCACGAGGACAAAGCCGAGCACGCTCCTCCAACGGTCAACAGGAAGCCCTTCCACCCAACACGCCCCATTCTAGACGGGGACTTCGAGATAGTAGTCCTCGGCAAAGATGCGGCCAGGAGCGTGAAGATTGGAGCAGGATTTCCCGACTTAGCGAGGAAGCAGCTGAAGGCCTGCCTTTGTGAGAACTTCGACCTCTTCGCTTGGAGCGCCGCCGAGATGCCCGACCTTGACCCCGAGGTCGCCTGCCACCATCTCTCCATCAACCCAAACGCGAAGGCCATAGTACAACGTAGACGTAGGCAGTCCCCCAAAAAGTCGACGGCGGCTTAAAAAGCTGTAAAAGACCTCCTAGAGGCAAATTTTATTTCGGAAGCCCGGTATTCAACCTGGCTGTCCAACGTTGTACTCGTTAAAAAATCAAATGGAAAATGGAGAATGTGCGTTGATTACACTGATCTCAACCGGGCATGTTCCAAGGACGCCTATCCCCTCCCCAATATCGACAAGCTCGTCGACAACTCGACGAGCTTCAAATTACTGTCCTTCACGGACGCCTACTCGGGATACAACCAGATCCCCATGGCCGAGGTCGACAAACAGAGCACGACCTTCATGACCGAGTCGGGAAATTATTAATACAACGTAATGCCTTTCGGCCTAAAGAACGCCGGCGCCACCTATCAACGGATGATGAACAAGGTCTTCCGGGGAGAGATTGACGACATGCTCGAAGTCTACATGGATGACATGATCGTCAAATCATGCACTAAGGTCGACTACACGGTGTTGCACCCCAAAATTTGCCCTTTTGTTTTAACCTTAACTGGATTTTGTTTCTTTGAATTTTTCATTTCTGCATATCATAGCATTTGTTCTTGAGGCAGGGGATCAAGAGTTGTTCTGTGGCTCAGAGTTCGTTTTTATTGCAAGAATCTAACAACGAGCATCAAGAGCTCTGGCATTTATTTTGCCCAATGATCGAGCGGTCGATTTTATTTTATTTTGCAGGTTATTTTTTAGCTCAGGAGGCGTCATTCAGGCTACCTCAAGCATTCTCACAGTTATAGTATTCAAAGGCAAGTTTCAGAGACTGAACAGGGCTCAGAACAGATGAAAACGGACAAATGTGCACTTTTCCCTCCAAAAGGCGCCAAAATTCAAATTTTGAAGGTGTTAACCGATTAACCAAAGCAAAATCAAGCCAAATTTGAATTTTTGAGGGTGTTAATCGATTAACCCAAATGGTTAA